ACACACACACACACACACGAACACACACAAACAAACACAAACACAAACACGACATTCATCCTCCTAGAAAACATCTGCCCAGCTGAAAGCAAGCATTCAGATAACTTCAAAGACAACAGAAGTGATTATGCAATTAAATACATGTTCCAAATCTGTATGAGTTTCTTTCTTCTGTTGAGCACAAAAGAAGATATTTTGAAGAATGAACGAAAGAGTTTCTGTTCCCCATTGACTTACACAGAATTGTATTTTCATACTAGGGAAGTCAATGGCTGCCGTCAACTGTTTAGTTACACATATTCTACTAAATATCTTTTTGTATTTAGCAGAAAAAAGAAACTCATACAGGTTTGGAACGACATCCTACTTGTATTGTATATGATAGATCTGTTCGAAAAAATATATTTCCAATTTTTTATTTTTTTTGTCTTTGTAAACTTTTATCACAATCCAGTTGTGTGACTCCTTATGTGGCTACCTTGTCTAATCGATAAATGTTCTCTTAAGTTTATACATTTTATTATGTGTATCTATCTTTTTAGTTGTAACTTTGTTTTATTTCAGTTTTTGTATTATTAATTGTAATTCTTCAACTTGAACTTATTTCAGTTAAGGCAACATTTCTATTTTTAAATGTTTAGTATTTTTTATAAAATATTTAAGTTTTTTCATCTATTTTTTAGTTTATTTTAATTAAGCTTTTTTCAATTACCGAAAACCATTTGAAAACTGAAAACGACTAATTCTGGTTTGTGTTAACAATAGCAACAGTGTTGCAAATGCTGTTTCGAGACGACTCTCGTTTTATAATCGACTCTGCAGGTGTTTTCATGCTTCACTGAGAGAAGCTTATTTGAATATCTAACATGAAATACTTTAGAGAAGTTGACATTTCATACAACGTGACATTCTCAAGTCTTCCTAAAACATTTTTTTTTCAGCATTTCAAATTCTTTTAGAACTATTGAATTATAGTTCATTTAGACGTCATAACCACCCCATGTTATTTGAGAGGCCACATGCTATTAGTAGAATATTTAATGGAATATTTGTACTTTTAAACATTTATTTGTCACAGCAGGACCAAGAAGAGTATCAAAGATAAAAGCTTTTATTTCAGATAAAAGAGAAAAATCATAGCATCTCTTGAATGAATTAAATCAGAGAAGCAGAAGTGAGACACGAGCAGGAAGGCTGCAGCAGATCTACTGTGAGCACTGATCTCTGGTCAGTTGTCGAGTGACGGCAGGCTGGCCGCTGCGTGTGGCCTCACAGCTCACTGAGACGCTCTCCATCCACTGCTGCTCAGAGAGAGTCAGGCTGCTGCTCCAGCTGTACAGACCGTCCTCCTGCAGGAGCCCAGCGCTGCTGTCCTGAGACCTGCTGCTGCTGCCGTCCACCGTCCAGCTCAAGCTCCAGTCTGACGGGAAGCCCCCGCTGGCCACACACACCAGTGTCGCTGTGCTCTTTGATGAAATCTCTGTGCTGGACGGGGGCAGGACGCTCAGTTTAGGAGGAGTGACGCCTGAGAAAAGAGAAGAGCAGCAGGACACCAGAGAACTCTCTTAACAGACATCTGGACACATTTTATTACAGATGAATGTGACAGACAGTATTCCTATCTGTTTAGACAAAGTAATATACGATAAAAAAAATGTTTAAAGCTAATTAAATGTAATCACACTGACAGATGTTTAATAACATGTTTGGGAAGCCATGAAGTTAGTAACTAAAGCAGCTGCTCAATACAACCACACTCTAACATACATCCAGAAAAGAGTCAATAATGAAATAATGAGCGTACTGTTTACTGTACGCTTGTGAAAAAGAAGTGCACTTAATTGTATTGAATTAGTCGTGTACTTTAAATCTTAAAAGGAATACATAATAAAACAATAATACTTGCAGATAATGTAATATTAATGAAATAAAATGTCACTTTAAGTGTACTTAAAGAGAGCACACCTTAATGACTCTCTTAATAATGTCAAAATCAATTTTTTACTTAAGTACATTTTAAATCATTATGCTTTAATAATCTTCTGTCGTGCTTTGAAGAAGTACACTTCTTTTGTTGACTAACATACTAACTATAGTGTTTTTTGATGCATTTAAAGTTAATTGATTTTAAACTTACTAAACTGCAATGCTTTTCATCATACCAAATGTGCAATTACAAATATATTGAAGTACATAGAAGTTTCAATAGAAACGACAGTATATTTCAGTTTATTATAATATAAGTAATTATGAAATTACATATACGGATGTACTTTTGTCCTACTTAAGTGGGTCAGCAGTCTACTGTTCAACTAATTGCATTTAATATCAATTTAAATTATAATAGATTTTTAAAAAAAATGCAATTAAGTGTCCAAAAACATTACATTCAGATCATGCTTTATTGTATTATTTTAAAGTGTATTGTTTCCATAATAAGTAAAGGTATGATGAAGTGCTCTGTTTCAAGGGAGTAGTAAAATACATTTCACAAATGCCAAGTTGGCAGGCTTAAATGATAAACTGTAATCTGAAACAAATCCATTAAAATATCTTTTGGCCAAAACAATTTATGACAAAATATGCTGTATGACAAAAAAACTCTAACAGCATGTTAGTAGTAAAGACGTTTATATTATGTCTTCGTAGTTTGACTCTCAAATGTAAACCTACACTGAGAAATATTTACTGCTAGTATATCGAATAGAAAATATGTTTTTGCCAGTACAAATGAAAACATTTAAAGTATAATGTCATAAGTTATAGTAATATGACTATATTGTATTGTATTAAGAGCATTTGAATATTTACTTACTGCCAACATCCAGTCTGGTGCCGCCGCCGAAAGTTAATCACAGTGATACAAACTAATAGAGCAGCTGCACAAAAACCTCTGCACGCTTCAGCAGCTGCACAACAACTGCTGTACTTATATTTGTGATCAAACCCATTTCAATAATAAAAAACTATTAATTGCATTTTTAGAAAAGATGGTAAACTACTGAATGCTCATGAAATATCATCAGAATATCCAAGAAAACTCTTGAGAAATATCATCTGATACTAATACGAAGTCTTTGCTTTTGTGGAAAAAGTACACTGTAAAAACAATTCCGTAAAATGTATGGTAAAAAAACGGCAGCTGTAGTTGACGGATTTAACTTAAATTTACAGTTAAATACCGTAATTTCATTAACTGATATAATGTTAATATACCAACCTATTGAAGCACTGAAATCTGTTTTGCACCTTTGTAATACACTGATAACCACCAAATGCAGGTGGTGATGAAAAAGTCACATGATGAACCAAAGCCCATCACAAGCAGCTTTTAAATAATAACATATATAGAAGGTGCACAGCGTCATTCACACAAACACTAAACACCATCATGGTAACACACATGAGACTGAAATAATGCAATAAACATTAATTTAACAACATTAGGTCTAACACATAACCCTAATATACAAAACTGATAAGAAAAAACTAAGAAGAAACATAGGTATTTCAACAAAAATTTAAACTATTAGGAAATGTGTAACAGGGAATTCTGGGAATGTCAATTTACGGTTATTCACTGTAAATTATACAGTATTTTTCACTTCCAAAAACGGTATACTACCGTAAAATATGTCCAATACATGTAATGTCCAATACAGTTTTTCACTGTATATAGTAGGGGAATTTACCGTTAACCATTTAACAGGTTTTTACTGTAGCATTTTTACAGTCTTTTACCGTTAAATTCACGGTAATTTTTTACAGTGTACATTTAATGAATTTAGTTTGAAACTCAATATCTGACACATATGTGACACGTTTTCTCTGAAAGGAAGCAGCTTTGAATAAGTGCACCACTCCTCTGTTTAAGACTGACTGTCATCGCTCAGGACTCTAAACAGCAGCTCTCGTCTGTTCTCTCTCAGTCCTAGCAAAGATGACTGCAAACACTCTAGTGATCTGCTCTCTACTGCTTTCTCTTGCTGGTGAGATTACAGTTGAATATTCAGCGAGTTATGAATGTTTTTCTCATTTTTCTCATGTGTCATCTGTTTGATTGTAACAATGATGGCAGGTTGTTCAGCTGAGATCATTCTGACTCAGAGTCCGTCAGTGGATTCGGTGTCTGTGGGAAGCAGCGTCACTCTCAACTGCAGATCCAGCAGTGACAGTTTTACATCTAGTTTAGCCTGGTATCATCAGAAACCCGGACAAACACCCAAACTCCTGTTCTCTAGTGTTGGCAGCAAAGTGTCTGGAGTTTCTGAAAGATTCACTGATGGGAGATCAGGAACAAACTTCATGCTCAATATCAGAAACGTCCGGTCTGAAGACGCAGGAGATTATTACTGTCAACAGCATTATGAACGGCCATGAACACAGTGATAGAGAGCCGTACAAAAACCCCTTCAGTGAAAGAGGAACTACTGATTTAGACACACACTGCACACATATTACACTGTGACTGGACCCTGTTAAAATTACATATTACTTTCATTTTTTTTCTGTAAATGTAAGAGACACTTTACAATAAATTCATTACAGTTAAGTTACAGTTGTTCTCGAAACAAATAAAATTCAAGGTAAATTGAAGTCCAACATTAAATACATATATATTAAAAATACATATTTTAGTAAGTGTCACTGCACACCATTCTGTTCTCCATAATCTTTTAAGTCTTTTAAAGGTCCCATATTGTCAAAACTGAAATTTCCTGGCTTTTTTCATGATAACTGACGTCTAGGGGCTATTTAACTACCATATAAGTTTCAAAACAGTCAGTCCACAGTAAAATGCACACAGCCTGCATAAAGTAGCTGTGATTTTTCACGAACCGTTGTGACTTCCGTAAAAAATTTATGTCAGAACTACACAGTCACCGCCTTCAGTCACCACCCCAAGCACCACCCACAGTCCCACTCTCCTTTTGCCAAACCCCCAGACAACATCGCGTCCATGCCATTGCTGAGCAACAACAACACCAAAACATGTCGAAAGGTTAACTTTAATCACGAAACCAGATCGACCTGTAACGTTATACTCTCACTCAAAGGATGGACGTTCTGACAGGATTGTATGAGGTGATCACATCTAACGTGTATAGTAAAGACAAACTCACCGTGTCTATCTAGTCATGGTGAAGATGTATATACAGTACATTTCAATTTCAGCAGGCAACTATTTTTACAGCTACATTATTGTTCCAGCCACAATTAATCACAGCAATGTATATACAATTACAAATGATTATATATAAATCGTCAGTTTGTTGTTTTACACACACATGCACACAAACATTATTTCATACACGACATAGTCGTGAGATGCAAGAAACATAG